GGGTGGAGCCGCTGGTATATTGAGCATCGGCGAAGGAACAGAGAGGGAGAGAGACGTGGGCAGATAGCCTGGGCATTTCAAATATGAAAAAGAAAAACTCTGTAAGAATCCTTGTGCCCTATAAGTCACCCCCTCCCAAATGTCAAATAAGCTATGCAAAACCCAAATAGAATATATCAGTTTTGTCAATCAGTGTCAGGACAGAGCGACCCTGAGTGAGGGTGGGTCTCCCAGCGGGGAAGGGAAATTTAGTGAAACAATAGGTTTAGCAGGAAATCACCAGTCATAAGTGATACTAATGGGTGAGTTTAAGATGTCAACAGGGCCATTTCTGCCAATATCACAAAGTAATTGCTCATTTCTGAAAAGCTGATTATTTTTTTTCTTCTCACATATTGTTTTGACCAAAAGAAAGGAATGAATGAACGAATGAGTGAATGAGTGTTGTCACAAGCCATTAGACTATTAGTGAGAGTCAGATTTAATATCTCAGTGCAGTGACTCCAGTTATTTTTAATTATAGAAACATAAAGAAATTTAAACATTGCAGTGTATGTTTGGTGATTATTAAAATGTATAAAATATTAAATTAAGATTTTACTTGTACTCATTGAACGAATTTCACTTTAATCAGTTTATTATAGAATCTGAAATGAGTCTTAGGTAAGATCAAACCTTTGAAACATTTATTTCTCGTTCCCATATCTTCATATAATTCCCAAAGCCTAACCATGGAAAGAATTTGATTTGGTGAACTGGAATTTTATGTTTTCATGCCTACTGTTTGTATTGCCTACAGTTTTTATTGTTGAGCACTAAAATGTGATTTAAATCACCAGTCTACCTGATACAATCAATGCCCCCCCCCAAAAAAATCAAGAGGAAATAGCCTCATTGGAAAGTAATCTCATTAGAGAGCTTTTCCTCCCTTCCTTCCAATAAGAAACTGAAAATATATAGATTTCCTTCTTTCCTCTGCCTATAGAAGCAGAAAGTCACGAAAGCATTATTTTTCTAATGCTAACATTTTGATCTATGTAGTTACAGCTATTAATGGTTAACGATGGTATAAAAGTATATAATGCTAATGAGGAACAGCTGACCCTCCTAAAACAAAGAACTCTAGATAGGCTGACCAGATTCACCAGAAGGGCAAGTAGTGGGGAACGGCTGGCAGTGCAAAAAACACAGCAGACAGTAGGGATATCAGAGTATAAGGGCTCAAGGAGGGGGAGGGAGACTATGGGAGGGTGTTATCTGGGAAGTGGGTGAAAAAAAAAGTATATAGTGAAATTCTACAAATAAATCATAAGCTTTAAATTCCATGTTGTTCTGAGGCTTAGGATGTAAGCTCATGCTCTCCCACTCTTTTCCACACAAGATGTTAATTATCTCTTCATGTTCAGTGTATCCCCCCTGCATATGCCATCCTCCCATTAATCATAGGACTCACTGTTGTAAAGTTGCTGATCTTCTCAGGTAAACTTTATTTTGCTAACAATGATGCCAAAGTGCAAGTAGCGGTGCAGGTTTGGGTGTGTTGGAGAGAAGCTGTAAAGTTAAGTGAAGAGGTGAAAGTTCTCAACTTAATGAAGAAGGAAAAGTTACCGAGCCTGCCTCCATCATCCTTTCACTTCATCACAGAGGCCCGTGTCATCATCCCAAATGATCGCAGAAGGGAAGAAAATGTGTATGGTTCAATATGATATTATGAGGCCACATTTATATTGCATTTATTATAGAATATTGTTACCTTCTTATGTAGCCTAGTTTACAAAGCAGTAAGTGTATACAGTGAAAATAGCATGCATATATGTCTGTGGAGGTTGGGAAAGAGCAGGAGGGATGCAATTGGTTAAAATTCCTTCATTTTAGGAAAAGGTTGGGAAAAGAAATGAGCCTTTAGTTACATTTAAGCTTTTAATGCCATGCTAACATTATGTGAATATTTAATATCCACAGCAACCCATAATTAACAACCCTGCCTTCCCTGCACAGATGAGAGCTCTGGCTCAGGGTCAAACAGTGATTCATTAGATAGTACTATAGAGCTTGATACTCTGTGATTTCAGGTGTCCATTTAAATCTAGGCTACTTTCTAAAGGACAAGGGGGTGAGGCGATGCTATTGTGATTATAGCCTCTTGTATCTATGGACAGCTGAAGAAGCTCACCTCTTACAAGCCCTATAACATGGTCTCTTCACATGTTCCAACTATTTAATTCCAACTGTTTAATTAACAATATCATAAGATTTACAGTTCTCTGAATCGGCCATGCTGGGGCATCACTTTGAGCTTCTGTGCATAAATGCTTTTTCCCAAGCCTCCTTTCATACTTTTCTTCTGGTTCAGCTGCATACAGAAAGGGCCCAAGTGTCTCCCTGCACAAAGCCTTCCTCGCCCTCCCACCCACAATTTGTCCCAATCATCTGCAGGGAGTTGGCTCACTGTACATGCATCATTCTTTTTATATTTACTTATCGACGTGCTGTGTTCTCTTTGAGATCTTGCATTCTCACGGGCAAGGTTCATACATTTTTCATCCCTTTTGTGATATTCAGTTCCTGGTCCTCTAATACATGAACAATATGGCCTACATTAGAATAAACTCACACCAAGAGATGAATTTTCCCCAAAGGTTTTCAGTAATTTTTATGAAGTCTCTGGAGTAAAATGGAACCACAACATGTTCAATTTGGGCTAGACCTTCCCAATTGGCTGAAATTCCTTCAGTTTTGGAATAGAGTAGGAAAAGCAAAGAAGCTTTATTAGTGTCTGTGGTTTTGATATTATGGTAGCATCTAGTAAATGGTATTTAATTTTCATAGCAGTTGAGAATTAATAACCATGATTGTTCTGCAAAGAACATGGGCTGGAGACATAACTCAGCAGTTAAGAGCACTGACTACTCTTGCAGAGGACCCGGGTTCGATTCCCAGCACCAATAAAGCAGCTAATAACCATCCATAACTTCAGTTCCAGGGGATCTGAGGCCTTCTTCTGACCTCCACAGGCATTGCATGACATGGGTGCACTTACGTACATGCATGCAAGGCATTCCTACACATCAAATAAAAATAATAAATAAAAATATTTTTTTAAAAGTTTAAAAGGAATGAGAATATTGATCTGGTCAGACTGGCATTCCAAGCCTGTTTTAAACCCTGAAGCCTGCATTCTTTGTAGCATCCTACCCTGAAGTACCTTCATGAGCTCTGTGACAAGTAGCCGAAGCAGTTAAAGAGAAGGTGTTGCAGAAGTCAAGGGAAGGAGGAAACCTCGTCATGGAAACTCTCAACAGGGTGAAGTCTAGTGTTAAGTTTTGTAAAGTTTCCAAAGGTTCCTAATCCCCATAAAACACCAAGCATCTTGATACAAAACACAGGAAGCTGAGTGATCATGTGGTTTCCAGGAGTCAAATAAATAAATAAATAAAATGAATCGTATCTTTTCTTTCATGCATTTCACAACAGGCAGGAATTGGGACCATGTAAGGAGCAACAAAGCATTCAAAGGAGCAGGTGGATTATATTTAAGGAAGAGGAATTCATGCACCCCTCATCAGAGATCTTAAGTGACATCATTTCTCAAGGATAGAAGCCTGAATTTCAAGGAAGGATGGGCAATTAGACGTCTACTGAGCTCAATGGAGATGTCCTGGCACAGTTCCATAGGCACCCTCAGCAGCTATGTTACAAGAAGATAACCCACAAGACGATGTAACAGCATGAATCCTGAATCTCAGTCAGGGTTATCAAACATGAAGGTATCTAAACTTTAGAAAAATATTAAACAAGGTGATTTTTTAACATCTTACAAGAAGTTTCTTTGTTATTACCTTGAAATTAAGAGAACCTATTTATATATCCCAAAATATAGAACTTCAAACTTTCTAATCTTACCTAGGAAAATTTCATAAACAGATACAAATTCACAGTTAAACATTCACTCTACAACTCACTCCCTGATAACTTTATGTATGATATATTTCACAATCATAAAATAATGTACATTTGAAAGTGTTTTTCCCCCTTTGTCTTTAATTTCCGAACATTGCTTCTGCTAATTTGTTCAGCTCTCGGTATAATCTCCTCATCTTCATTCTACTTTCAACAAGGTAAGCAACAAAAGACAGATCCTTACTCTGAAGATCATCAAAAGGTAAATGTGGAGGCAAACATGTGCATGTGTGAGACACAATGAAGTCCAGCAAGTAAACAAATGCAAACCTGTGTGTGTCCAAAGGCACTCACAGCAAAGCAACCCGGGGCGGCTCAGGCAGGGCATTTTATTCAGCTCTCAAGAATCCTGTCTGACTGCATAGACATTATATCTGGTATTTTTTTCATTATTAGTCTAATTTGAGATTTTTATCTGCTTCCTGAAGTACCTGGTTATTAATAATCAATTATTTTATACACCCACACATACGCAATTGCACACTGCATATGTACATTTTGTGTGTGGCTATATGCTTCTTGTCTGAACTGTCTACAAGTGAGTTGATTGAAGACTGGAGAAAATCAGTACCTATTGCTCTTTAATTTCTTTATAGACAAAATGTACCACGCAGCAGAGAGAGGGCCTTCTATTCCTCTTATCTTTGGTATAAAATTTACCTCCTCAGACAAGGCCTTCTGAAAGCATGTAGTTTAAGACCATCGCCTGCTGTCTATCTAAGGGCTTGGTGCTCCTTCCCTAAATGTTGTGCTTGCTCCACTGTCTGTCCTTGAGTGCAGGCAGGATTCTGTCTAATTCCTGGTCGAGAATCCACTCAACGTAAAAATCCCAAACAGGTAGATAAATGAGTGAAAGTAAGTGTGGAAAAGACAGCTGAATCGAAATACAGCAAGACACTGTGGTTTCTTACTTAAACAAGTAAGAGGTAGAAACGCATTTAGCAGTTGGTGTGCTTGACAGATTTTGGACTGTACCCTATTCTCTCTGGTGTTTTCCAAAGCCCCTCTTTCTTGCAAAGAAAACAGAAGCAAAAGCAAACCTTAATTGTGGTTGTGTGTGCTCCAGGATATTCTTTCTCTTCCAGTGTTGACCATCTTTCTATAAATTTAGATACCAGGGAATCGTCGTAGTCCACTATCTGAAATCCAGACACATTTGCACCTCCAAACTGAATTTTCAGCAGGTCTCCATCAGTGAATCCCTAGACATAAAACATACTTTAGTCATTCGTGTGGAACTTAACTTTTGCCATATATCTCTACACATTATGGTTTTACAAGTTTCAAAGGGCAGAGAAGAGATAAAATTTCTAGGAAAAAAGCTTCCACGTATTCAGTAGTTCAATGTTCCTCAACACAGCTGACATTATATTGGTAACACAGCAAGTCAATATGATTAGTGACTTGTCATCTCATGTAAAGGTCATAGGGTTACTTACATAGAATTTCTCCATTGAAACTCTCCATGAATAAAGACTGGGCTTTTAATCTATAATGGAGCGCTTAATATTGAGCAAATTATTCGCAATTAATCATTCACCCACCTGATAAAACATCTTTAAAATGAGGTGAGAAAAACTAAATGCTCAGTCATTGTTCTTAATCATTTAATAGAAAACACACAGCTTCACATTAATCCTGAAACTGATTTTTATACAATATATTAATTTAAAATCATTTTCAGGCAGGACTGGAGAAATAGATCAGTGGTTAAGAGCATGTAGACTGCTTTTGCAGGGATCAAATTTTGATTCCCAGCTCCTACATCTGGCACATCACAGCTGCCTGCAACTCCAGCTCCAGGGGATCAGATGTCCTCTTCTTGACTCTATAGGAATGTACTCATGTGCCTCAGCATCCCACACATATACATATAAGTAAATATTAAAAATGTCAGTTTCTTTTGCATAAAATAATTAATTCAGTCATTACTAAAACTACCGTGTGACACTTCCATTGATTCAAATATTGTGCTGTCATGAGTTTCAACTGAATTCTATTTTTTAACAAAGCTGAGAAATCATAATTTCATGCTGTAACTGTAAATATATTCATATTTAAACTTATTCTTTCTATTGTGCATAGTGCTTAAATGTATCCTGAATTAAGTATGGGTCTTTTCTTTGCTGCTAAAATTAAAAGCATACATTATTAGCTTTTATCTGAGTGAAAAATGATGGCTTTTTGTGGTCCCACAAATTTATTTTCACTTCTTATACACATGATACAAGTTGTGCAAAAATAACACAGCAAAAATTACAAACATTTGATTTTCAAATATTCACCTCTGTATTTCTGAAGAATACACTTTTTCTCTTTCTTAATTTATTGCAGTTTTCATGGAAAAGACTTCTCACATGCCTAGTTAAGACTATACTGTTTTAAGGCAAGATGCTGAATGGATTCTTGAGATTTCAGTGTGCACAAATGAAGTTAATTAGGGAGCATGCTTCACTGTAAGCAATGGTCTGGAGGGATGAGAATGAATCTTTTCTGTTAGGATTTGGACCCTTCTGAGGCCTTTAGAAACCTCTAGTCTTCTATACAAGTATGTATGTATGTGTCTAAATGCTAGGGACAGGATGATAGGAATCTGGGGTGAGGTTCAGAGTTCTACAAGGAGAATTTCACTTTCTGATAGTTGTCAATTTTTTTTTTTCCCTGCACATCTCTCTAGAAATTAACATGGTCAAGAGAGGAGGTGTGTGCTTAGGGACCATTATTGGACATCATTTTGTTGTCTGGATGAGGTGGAGAGAGTATTTCAAGTGCCCAATTATTCTCTACAAAGTACTTTGAATCAGATTCATTGTACTGACTAGTCTGTGATGGCCCTGGTTATCCTAGGACTCATTTGAGAGGCTGAGTTGATGCAAAGATGCCTAGGGCTTCCCCTGCTCTGGACAGTAGGTTACATTTAGAGTTACAAATGTACAAATTCTGGCAGAATATCCCAGGGACAATGAAATCCATTCCATTATAACTTGTACAATGACAAAACTGAGTTCTGGGTTCAACCTGCTTTCCTTCAGGTTGAAAGAAAGTGCTGCAGTTCATTTAAGACAGAGTGTCAGGGGACCAGAGTGGACACACGCCCCCACTGAAGTCCTTTCTCACTTAATTCTTTTCCCTCCCTCTTTTGTGTCCAGTGCTCCCTGGGAGGTTGCTTCCATAAAAGCGTCCCATGCAAGGGTCTGCTGCTAGATATGCTGAAGGAGATGTCTTATTAGACCCATTTAACCTTCTTTGTCTTCTGGGTCTGCTGGCCTAGTTCTCACAGGGAGTTTGCAGATGGGCAAGTGCCTTTCCCATGCTGTTTAATTACCCTTGTCTTTCCTGTTTGCTCTGCTTGGTGAGCTGAGATAAAGCCCTTGACTTCTTGTATTGTTACTGTTTAATTTCTCGTTTTCTTCTTGGGGTCCACATAATTTTATTAATTTCCTGGTATTTTACTGTCGTTACTGCTGTTACACTTTCAAACGAAACTGTTGATGAGGTTTTAAGCCTCCTTAAGGAGCTTCTGCATTTTTCATTCTTTTCTTCTATAAAAATTTCAGTTTATAAAAAGCAGAGAAGATGAGGTAGAGAAAAAGGACAAGGAGTAAAAGGAGGGAGCCCAAGGAAAAGAAGGAGGAGGAAAGAGATAAGGAAGAGGAGGAAGGAGAGAGAGGGAAGAAGGGAGGGAGGGAGGGAGGGAGAGAGACGATGAAAGACTGACAACACAGGTGGCGACATCTCACCAAGTCAAATCACCATTACTGCTAAAGGAGATTTATTTACAGAGACATTTAAGAGAATTAGAGCCAAAGATAATTCTGTATAACTTAAAATTTTAATTAATAATAACCGTAAAACAAAAATTTAAGGTACAGATGTCTAACTTGACTTGATAGGCCTTAACACAAATGATCGAACGTATGAAAGCCAATGGTGGGGGATGGGAGGGTGTTGATGGGGAAGGAGGTATAAAGAGGATTAAAATATTGTGTATAAAATATACAAAAATTCAATAAAAATATACAAAAGAACTATATATAACAAATTCACAAGAGTGGGGGGAATGAAAAATGAGCACAGGAGTGTGGGGGATGAAATTATGACTAATTTCTCATCACTTTATGAATCAGTTGCCTTTCAAGTGCTGCATCAGGAACTTAATCACAGCCTGTCTTGGAGGAAAAAAAATCAGTGTCCAGCAATCTTGAAGAGATTAATCAATAACTGTATCTGAGAATTTTAAAGAACCTCTCATAACCACATCCTCTAACATTCATTAGACAGCAGAGGGGAAAGCCTTTTGCTCTGTCAACAGATTTGGAGACGAGAGCCCTTTGACTTATGGTGGTTCTCTTCAGCTATCAATGTCACAAAATGTTTGTGTGCCCTCCAAATTCACAGAAACTACAGCACAATCCAGAATTTTGCACTAACTGAATTCCTAGGAGTTTGTGTGGAGAGGAAATCAAGTATTCAGAAAAGGAAAAAGACAACCAAATTCTCATTCAAAATTAATTACACAGAAGCATGACAGCAGCATGACAACAGCATGAACTTGATTTTATTCTTTTAAATTTTGTTTATTCAGATAGTTTATTCCTTTCTCATAGGATTATATATCAACTCGCAAATTGATGAACTGCCTTCTGTCATTATTTCTCAATGTTCCAATATAATCTTCTCCATCTGGACATTTTTAAAGATCACAGCTTTCACTGTGGCCCTGTGCTGTTCATAAAATGGCACAATTCACACAGGGGACTGACTGTCCAGGCTGTTCTGGGCACAGAACACAGCTGTGTAGAGTCCTGTTAAATAGCCCCCCCCCCCCCCCCCCCCGTTAACTGTTGCTTCTCTACAAAGTCTTTTAGGATCTCCTAGGTAAACACTAAAGGAAATTCCTGGAGAATTCTTAGTGGTCATTCTGTCACTAAATAGTTATTCATCTTTAACAATCAACTGCTCCCAACCAAAACTCACTCACTGAATCTGACTTCAGTGAAAACATTATTTATTTTAACTTTGTTCTGTTTTTGATTCTTTCTGCCAAACTAGGAATAATGTTTCCTGCTGTAGAAGCTAATACCCCCCAAATCACAAAATAAATCGACATTTTCAGAAATACAAAACCTTTTAAGCATCCTGCACACTACGTATAATAAATTTGCCTTCTCTCTTTGACTTTTTTTCTCATATTTCGCTGAGGTGGTGCAAGAGGTGGGATCCAGTGTATTTTCAACACATAGAGTCATAGCTACTTAAACATCACTAGGAAAGATTCAAGCTCATTTAATTGCTAACCCAATAACTAATTTAGAAAGCATTAGTTAGAAAAAAACCCAGAAATATCTGATAATTGTAATAGTCATAATTAATAAACAAATGAAACTAGCCACTCTGCTTTTTCAATACCATCTTAACTTGACAAGAGCCTTGATAAGAAAGTGACCAAATATAAGAATTCAATTTTCATTGTATTACTTATATATTAAATAGAAAATCAGAACCAAATTATTTGCATAATATCAATATTACATGCTATATACCATGTATCTGTATGTGACTGATAAGTTTCTTGATAATATATTGTCATATTTCCAGGTTTATTTTTCTCATAAATATCCATGAATTTCAGATATTATATACACTCAAAACTTCAAGAGAATGTTCAGGGAGTAAATTTATAAAATGCAATGATAGGGAGAATGAATATTTACTCAATTAAGCTTCATATTATTTTCTAATATTTCCCTTAGCATAAATCTACCTTTAAAGAGAGTCAAAAGGCTGACTAGACAGACCCCAGTGGATGAACTTGCACTGAGGGGTATCTGGGTACAGTAACTTGACTCGATAAGCCTTAACATATATAATAGAAATGCATGAAAGTAGGTGGGACGGGGTAGGTGGGCACAGATGTGGAAGAGCATATAGAGGTGAGGAAGATGTTTTGTATGAAGTGCACAAAAATTCATTAAAATATAAATTGAATAAAAGAATTGTTCTACAGAAATTTACATCAAATATAATAATAGGAAATGGTTTGAAAATTGTGAGGTGTGATTGGCATTTCTAACCTATAAAATATAATCAAACTGTATACTTAAGAACATACTTATAAATGATTATCATTAGTAATGTTTTCAATTAAAAAAAGAGTCTAGTGAAATAATAAATACCAGTTAATTCACCTACCAGATTTGCAATGATATAGTGATATCCTTTAACATGTTTTCCAATGGTAATAACCTAGCAAAAATAAAAAATTAATATTTAATACATGTAAAGAATGTCAATATAATATTCATGGTATGTAAAGAATGTCAATATAATATTCATGGTATAACTGATTAATGAAAAATGGAATTCTACCTAATATAATTTATGTTCCACAGGTCATTTTTAATAAAATATATTTACCAACCACAGAGAATATCAGGTAAAAGCAACAATGCATTTTAGTGCTTATTTTAATGTTAATAACTGTTTTCTCTTAAGAAGCCAATAACTAAACCAAAATAGCTTTTTTATTCAACAATGAAAACCCCACAAATTTTTTGAGAAACATAAAGTCAGTTTAATACCTAACAAGTCATAATTTTATTTTTATCCGTGTATGTTTTTGCTTTCTTAGTAAAACATTAAACAGCTGAAATAAACATCTAAAATTTATATTTACAAATCCATATTCAACAATAGCATGCATAGAGTTTATAGAATGATATAAATTAAGGAAATGAGATCCTGTTTCCATGATCATATAGTCATGCTTATCTTAAGGATCTTAATACACTTACAGTTTAGTGGAAATGAACATTACTCCTAGCTTTAGGCAAAAATATCCAAAAAGGCATTTCTCTCCTATTTAAGAATAAAATCTCAACAGCAAGGTAAACACATCTTAGAACAAAGATGACCCAGCAATGTTCACAGTACTTTTGGACATCATTGAGTTGTGTTGTCCTTCCCTGACCTACGTCACTTATGCAGAAAGTAGACATGTGAGAATGGCCTTGCTGAGACTCAGAATGTAGGAACCAGTGGGAAACCCACAGCTTAATTAAAGTAACTTAGGTCAAATGCATTCAATACTCCTGATCCACCAGCCTTCACGGCTTGCAGCCCACAGGGCAAAGGAGCACGGCTTGCTTACATTCGTAACTGAAATGGAGGAGAGCTGTGGCTTCCTGCCACTGCCCAGCATCTCCAGAGAATCCTGCACTGCATATTGTTAGCATGAGGAAAGTCCAAAGTTCAAAATAAACAGCTTCTACTAAATTGAAATGCCTTTTGAGCTATTGTAAACCTGAAAAAAAGTCATAAACTGAGCAATATGTCTAGGATCATACATATTAAAAATTAATTTCCCTTTAATTTTATTTTGAGAAAAAGTCCTACTGTGTAGCTCAGTCTCAAAATCTCAGTGACCCTCCTGTCTGCCTCAGCCTCCAGAGTGCTGGGGTTCCAAATATGACCTACCATACCTATCTTAGCACTTTCCGGTTTTTAAGAAAATAGTTATAGCATTGAAAAATATTAAATCCCAAATTACCTAAAAATTCAAACATTTAACTCACTTTCCTGATATAGTAGTTTCTCCTTTCTTTAGCATAAAAGAAAAATTCTACTATGAATAGTTCAATGATCCTACAAACTTTCCCAAGCTTCCCTTTGCCCTCAAATCACATGGGTTCTCTCTTAGCTTTTTGACACAGTAGAGCAGTCCTTACAACCAGGTCAGTACTTTGTATCTCCTACCTCTTCTCTTGGAAAGCTCACTACACCATCACATCCATGTATTATTAACATGGAGGACATAATCAATTTCAGTCTGATGGTCACAACATGGGTGAAGCGTTAGTTCCATGACCGTCCATCACCCCTGACAATGTCAGTTGCTCTGAAGAAACACATTCATAAAAGAGCAAGAATAGAATTTCTAGAAATGATTCAACCACGTGCTATTTGAGATTGTGTGGCAGCTGTTTGAGTGTCAGAACTTATATTGCTTTCTAATCCATTTTTATGCCACACAACTAAATTGCCTTTTCCAAGAAATTGAACCCTCTGTGTTGATGGCATAATTTGGAAGAAAAGATGTATTTCTAAGTGAAAAACCCACCAATTCACTTCCACTTAATCAAAATGATTGTGTACATCACATCAAATATCTTAAGAACATGTGTTGACTGCTTACTGTATGTGATACTTTATGAAGCATCCTTGTTTTCCATCTGGGAATTAAGATAAATGGTATACATCATGATACCAGTTGTCCCTAATTGTGTTCAGTGATTTCTGAGAGAAATAAAAGATATAAAAATTCACTAGGTGTAGTTAATGTTAGTGTTGGCCACAGTAGCCATCCTGACTTTGCTTTATTATAGCAATAATGCATTAACAATAGAAAATTTATAAATGTCTTTGATAGCCAATACTTTTCTCAACTAATCACAGCTAGAAACAAATGCCTTCTAGTTTCAAGCCACTGTGAAGATAGGGTTTTATGCTATCTCTATTCCCTTATAAATACCACTTGAGTGAATTCATACATGAGTTCACTCTTCTGAGAATGTGTGTCATCACCACTTTCTACCTGGTGAACTCTATTCCTGAAGACCACCCTGACCTAAATGCTACTTTCAGTGACCGTCACCTGAACAACCTTGTTTTTCCATTCATGATACATCCCAGTGATGAGTATACTCATCTTTGTAAATACAGTATTAGCACACTTCGGTGGAGCTTGGCATGTTTTGTATAATAATGCCTTTTCAGACATACTACAGCACCCGCCAGCAAACCCTAGAACCTGAATATTCACTCAGCAAATAAGTAACTGGCTCTAAGTCAGCCAGATGATTCTTTTTGTGAGACACAGTACAACTCACTCTTTCCCTGAAAAGATAGGCAGAAACTTCTCTATACTCCCCAGACCATCTCTATAGTTTAGTTCTTATATGAACCACTAAATATTAAAAGATTCTTCCTCAATTTGGTGCTGTTGGAAGGTGGTACAAGCTTGATGAGATAGGACTTACTAGAAGGCCTTTAGGTCTTTAGAAGAGTATCTTTGAAGGGAATGGAGGGACGCTGGTCCCTTTCTGTCTCTCCATTGCTTCATAGTCACAATGAAGTAAGCCACTTCCTCAAACACATATATCTGCTATGATATGTAACTGGTCATGGACTGAAACTCTCAAAATAATGAGCCAAAATGAACATTTTCTTTACAAACAAATTGATCTCTTTTATTTGTTACAGCAGTAGAAAGCTGAACAACACAATTTCATAAATTATGGCTTTTTTTTCCTTCCCCTATAAGAAGTTCATGGGATTCAGTACAATAGAGGGAAGCTTTTGGAAGCTCTCACCCAGAAATTCCAATGGACTCTTATAAGAACATTTGAAATTTGACGTTCTGACCTTTTTCTGATCCATCTAGAACTTGTAATGCTAACTTCTATTGATTTTACTTCTTCACAACTCCTACGCACCAGTCAAGGACTTTCTTTTCTCCCTACAGTTAAGAGTTATGCAATTTGAGAATCTTTTAGATAAATCCACTAAAGGGCTACCCCCATTGCTTCACCTTCCATCCCTGTTCAGCATGGAAGAAATCAGAGCAGTCTGTGTCCCGATTCCCCCATCGGCAATATGGGTAACCTCTTCAGAGAATGGTGTGATAAGAATAGGAGGTAGGAATTAGCTAGGCAGTTAGGGTAAAAAGACCCCAAAGAAAAGTAGCCAGTTTCATGGCTAAAAGTCAAAATGTCCTTGGGACTGTTAGCAACATACTCTGTTCCAAAGGTCAAAAATGTCAAAAATATTTGGGAGCTTTTCTCTAATCCTAGAATGATTTTAGGGTTACCTCTTCAGAGGGGGGGATGTTAAAGTAGCAAAAATCTCCATAAAAAAAGAAAGTGCATGAAGTTGTTCAAGAAAAAGTGATGGGGAGCTCAGGGAGGATTTGTAGGATAGGGAGTGGGCATAGATTTGATCAAAACACCTTATCTGCATGTATGAAATTCTCACTAATTTTTTTTAAGTTAAAAAAAATTGTTCCTGGGATTCAGATTCTACCTTTTCTCGTTTCTCATCCATTTCTCACTCCAGACAGACAGTGTCTTAAAAATGCTTATGGAATAGTGTGCCATCCATTCTGTGCATCTATTTACTAAGTTTATATATGTGCAAGTATAACACATGTAAGTAAAACAATGTATTTCAAACGATGTCCTTAACGGACCCTTATGGCACAACGATTAAAGATCTGCTTCAGATTTTGCTTTCCACATCATCCCAGTTTCTTCTGCAATTTCTCTCTTCAAGTTTTGATAATTTTTATGAAGGCCTTCACTAGCATTTATTATGATGAAGCAGGAATATTTAAATTTTTAGCTAGACCAATTTAGCTTTAATCAGAACCTCCTATGAAATTCAAATGTGATTTTTAGGTGCACATTTGGACTGGAGACCTTCAGGTTATAAACAATCCTAACCATCTCCCAAGACCAGAATCAAGACTTTTCTCACTGAAATTATTCTCTTATCCCTTGCATACATTTATCTCTTTTTCACAATTTAGTTTTGTTTTGTTATTCAAGACATTCAGTTTTTTTTTTTTATATTTTAAGGCCTATATTACGTATCAGTTAGGGCTTAATCAACACTTGTTTCTAGAACATTTTGCTTTGAACAAATTAGTGAATGTAAATTTTTTCCCCTTAAAGCTTAGAAGTGTCATAAATACATATGTGTGTGTTTTCTTTCCAATCACAGTATCAGCAGAGAGAGAGAGAGAGAGAGAGAGAGAGAGAGAGAGAGAGAGAGAGAGAGAGAGAGAGACTCAGACTCAGAGTCTCAAAAAAATCATCAGCTAGGAAAGGATGTAGAGATCACTTAGGAAATTATGATGTGTGTCTGGTCACTTATGCTGTCTTTAAAACACTGTGGGTTGATTTCTTATCATACATCTTATCTTATGATCATATGGCTGTCCAAACCTGAAAGGTCTTTACTAAAGCAAGATAGTATGGTAAGAACAGACAAAAAGAGCCTCATTGATATGTTTATTCTTTCCAACACCCAAATCAACATTTGTAGTTGACTTTTCACATAGTGAACATGGTCTGAATATATTTCCCTCGTGTTTTAATTTCATGGCTTATAATTTCATATAAATAAAAGTCTAATATATGCACAAAACCAAAAATTTCTTCTCACAAAATGACTACTCTTTGTGGAGACACAGGCATAGTCACAAAATAATATAGGCTCATCACCTTAGAGTATATTATACTGAACTCTAACATTTGAAGTTTATCATAAATAGTCCCCAAATCCATTTACTTTCATTTTAGAGCTCAGACTTCTCTTTATTTCATTTTATTCTATTTTGGTTTTTTTTTTTTTTTCTGTTTTTGTTTGAGGCAGGTTCTCTCTGTAGCCCCAACTGCCCCGGACTCAGTATGTAGAACAGGCTGACCTCAATCTTACAGAGACTCCACTGCCTCTGCCTCCCAAGTGCTGAGATTAAAGATTTGTACCACCACACCGAGCCAGACTTTTTTTTTAATTTAATACATATATACTTAAAAATTGTAGCAGAATTAAATTTAAAGTTTCCAACACAGTAGCAACTTCCAGACCAGCTAGGGCTACAAGGAGATTCTGTGACAAACAAAACAAAAAATTCCAATTCCTAGAAACATCAAGGTTTAGGACAGCACACAGTATAAAATATGAAAATCTGATATTACGCATTGAACATTTCTAATGATGAAATCAGTCTGTCAGCTTTATTGACAACTGTCTGTTGTTGCTTGCTGGGATAATTTAGTAAGGTAGAATAATTCAATTGGTGATCTTATCTGCTTCCCACATGAACCATAAACTGAAAACCACTGTCCAAGCACCTTGCAAAATGATCCTTGCCAATGCTGACTCTGCATGCATAGTGTATATTTGGTATAAAACAGAGAGGAACAAACCTGGTCCACAATGTCATTTACTTTATCCCTTTCACAGTCAAGGATGACACGCCGTTCTTTTTTTAACTCCAGATCTTGAAAAAGTGATCTGTAGGTCTCATCTTTCTTGTCATTGTTAATGTTCCCCACATTGATAGCGGTCACTTGCCACTTCTTCTCTGCTGCAGAGTCTAGCACAGCTTGTAGTGTTGATAAACCTAAGAAGGCAAAAAAGCAAGGATGACTGGTGGAGATGCTCAGTATCTCTGAATTAGACTGTGAAATGGCCAGCTACACACTGTTAAACCCGAAATATCTGTGAAACTCAGAAGGTCGACTCCTTCACAGAAGCTGTGATATTTACCAATACCTGCATATACCTGCTTCACACTTAAAAAGCATGAACATAATGGCACGGAAAAGCGGATCCCTTTCTTTCAACCTCTGAACTGCCTTTTTGGCCTGGTTCTGGCATAAAAGGTCTTTAATGTTTCCAGTTTAAGTGAAACAAAAAATAATACAAGCATACCTTACTCTTTGGGATATAAAAATGGCTTAGCTACACGTGATAGTCTGTCATTTCATACGAGTATCTTGATCAGGCACAGTATATTTCAGTGAAGAATCTCAGAGCGGTTGAGTGAGCACAACAGCCAGTGATGTCTGTGAACCTGCCAAACATCCTCCTGTTGTCTCTGGTCAGCAGACTGATGGCTTTATTTCTTCTGCATCTTTCTGTCATATTTTTTTATTGGAGCTGATCCCATGGAGATGAAATTGTTCATCTATGAACCAGATGGTGGAAGCCAGTTCTCTAGCACAGATTTATCTCATTTCCTAAATACGAGACTATATTTAATTGTACATAATTTGATCATGTTTAGAACTTTAGTGTCAAAAATCAAGGGAGCTGCTTCCCGAAGAGCTAAATCTGCAGTCAAGTACTAGAAAAAGACAAACATCAACCGCTTTCCATGCACTTTAGCTATTCTCGCTAAAGCCAAATTCCTTGCATATATGAATAACTTCATGAAAAAAAGTGACATCAAGACCCCATAAAGAATTCAGAATCAATCTGCCATCTTTTTAATTCCAGAAAGAGCTGCATATTTCTCAAAATACAGTGATCCGTTTTTATCTAGATGTTCAATTCACCCAATGTGAGCATGTGTATTTATAACAAAAGTTTAGATATTAAATTTTATCTCTTTAGAATGGCAAGGAATATGTTAATTATCTATTTTGTTAATCAATACTTCAAGTCATAAAAAGGCATTAGCTTGACATGGTAGCACATGCCTTAAATCCAGCACCCCAGAGACAGAAGCAGGCATATTTCTGACTCGGCTGCAAACCTGGTTTACATAACAAGTACCAGGCCAGCCTGAAGTCACTAACAATTCTGTGGATTCAATGTTGGTTACAGAAGAGACAAAATGTGCTCAGGGCATCTTTTGGTACTAGCAAACAAGTAAGCCCCAGAAGAGAGTATATGGCTAAAGGCTGCAGTAGGCAACTTGAAGAGCACCTTTTACAATACAGATGACAAATGCTATTTCAGTTAGAATAATTAGTGCAAAATTTAAATACTTAACATATTTAACCCATGAAATCATGACTAAAATAAATGGTAAGACTATTTGCTTGCTTTCGAGGTGTTAGAAACAACTATTTTGAAAATGTAAACGAAGAAGAAACAGAATTACAGGAGACATTGTTTTCCTTCCCCCAGATGAAATCTACTCAAGATGAAGATAAATACAAGTCTGTTCTTTTTAACAAATATTTTTATTAACTCTGAGAATTTTATAAAATGTATTTTGAGCATATTCTCCCAGCTCCTACCCTTCACTGCTCCCAGATCCACCTCCATCTCCATAACCCCCCATACTTCACATCCACGTTGTAAAAAATACAATAATCTTGAAGGGATTAATGAGCCCCCACATATTACTGAAGAGCTATGAACAGGTGATAGCTTCTGTGGGAGAGAGAATCAGTTTTCTTTAAGGGTATGGCACCTGGTAAATTTGTTCTTTTTTTTACTTTTATGTTTTAGAAATAATTTAGCTAGCGCATGATGAGAAACAGATTCAGAGTTATTATCATTGTGTAACTCTCACTGGCTTTAGTGAATCAAGGCAACAACTGTCAACACAATACTAATGAGAGGCAAGAGAGATGATCTCTAAATAACAATTCTTCACTACCTATGACATAGTCATGCAAAAAATGCAAAGTAGATCTCATCAAGTTTTTAATACCAATTTATAGGACATGCTTGATATATGCTAAACATCAAAGTGTTAAGACCGTCAAACTCTAGCCTGAGAAACATATTACATAATAAAACTCTAGCAAAATATATTAACTGACTATAATATATGGAACTCACTTTTATTTTCATTTTAACAAATACTTTAAAATTATATTAGCCAGGCGTGGTGGCACATGCCTTTAATCCCAGCACTTTGGAGGCAGAGACAGGCAGATCTTTGTGAGTTCAAGGACAGCCTGCTCTACATAGTGAGTTCCAGGACAGCTGGGGCTACAGGGTGACCCTGTCTCAAAAAAAAATTATGATATTATGGATTATTGCCTAAGTATGACAGTGATATTGTGGTTATATATAAAATAACCTAATTATATTTCTATTAAATACTAAAACATCTGCAGATGAAAAACATGATGACTAGTATTTGTTTCTAAATAATTTCATAGAACCAAAGAAATGCTATACAAAACAAAAACAAAAGTTCCCATATAATAGCCATCGATAAAAGGATTAAAAATTCATGGCAAACTAAGTGTAGTTACACAAGCCTGTAATCTCTGCTCTGGGCAGGAAACCTGAGGCAGGAAGATCCTGAATTTAAGGCCAGTCTGTGATACATTGAAACTTTGTCTCAAAAAGAAGTACTTGGCAAATTATCTATTTTATTTTATAATGAACAATAACTAATTTATTTTTATTTCAATAGATAGTTGAACCATACATTGAACTTAAAGTAATTTTGGGAACAATAAACAAATTCTACCCTTTCATCTATATCTGTTCTTATAACAAAAGATAAAGATAAACATAAATTTCTCAGGGGATGAACTTGGATCTCAGGTCACTTAAAAATATGCCAAGTACTTTCCTAGTGATATATTTTCACATGGCTTTTTATAAAGGCCTTTAGTGATAGTTATCTTTCCTCCTACTCCCACCTCTGCTGGGCCCTCTCATTCCCCACCCATTTAACCCTGCCTATCCTATTATTTTACTTTCCCCCTTTATATTCTGGCATTCTATTACCCCTTCATATGCATTATAAAAGATTAAAATAGTTACCTTTTAACAGGGAACTATTGCCTCTACAATACATCATAGGCTAGCAAAGTGAAAGCCAAATGCCACTGATGGACTCCCTCTATTGAAACTGTTGACCATAGACTTTCAAACAATACTGGCCATTACCCTGCCCTTGGTTATCCACCATAATGTGATAGTAAGATCCTGTTGCTGAATGAGTCATGGAAAAAATGAGAAATAAATCTGGTACTACTACCTTCAAAGCTTCATATCTTCTGGCTAGCTTTCATAGTGCTGGAAGCTGTTATGCATGCTTCCAGAAGAAAAAAATTAATCTTCAACCTTATCCAGTTGTGAATTTGTGTGCTCCATCAACAGCTTCCCTGCCAAGATATAACTTCATCATGGCATGAGTATTATGGGAATACTAACACTGTTATTCTGCTAAATTGATATAGTGTTAGAGCGACTCCTAATAACTTATTCTTATACCCATAGATTAATGCTTCTCACATCATTCAGTGGAGAGGTCTCCTAAAGCAGCAGACCATGATTAACACAGAAACCCACAACTGGCCAATGAGCAGAGAACAAGAAGCTGTAGAGTGCTTATCCCTGAACTGTACACCTATATCAAACTTCTGCCTCCAAAGTCTAAAGGATCATTGCTGAGATATGCTGGAAAGATTGTAAGAGCTAGAGGTGGTAGATGACTACAAGGAAACAGCTTTTCAGACAGCTGGGAAGTTTACTCACACGATGGCGACAGCATGGACAAGTACCACATAAGCTCAAGCCAGACAAAATTCCAACATGGACATGAAGAAATGGGTTAGACATCCCAACCTGAGGAACTGTTGGAAACAGATGGCTGCTGGGAAGGGGAGAGCCAGTCTGATTTAAGGGTTTGACTTTTGGTCGGTTAACCAGGCTCCAGTGGATGGATCCACACAGGAGGACATTTGGGGACACAAATTAGACTCTATAAGCTTCAATATACACATAATAGAGTACATGAAAATGCACCAGGGCTAGCAAGGGGGGTACAAATAGGGAAGAGGATCTAAATTATAATCAAAATACATTGTATGAAATTTTCAAGTGCTCAATAAAAAGGAAAAAATCAAAATAAGTCACATCAGTGTTATGTTGCAGAAAAAAAAATATTTCAATGGCAAAATTGTAGAACACATGCCAACATGCCTGTCATGGCTGTTCATTTTAGGCCAAATTAACCCTCTGGTGCTGAATGCAGTACCTTCCTGCTTTTCATCACCAGTGAAGGGAGATCACACACAGTAGGTTATCTCATCAACTCAGCAGCCACAAGCTGATCAAACAGGGTTAAGCATTTTCTCACCTCCTCTTTCATCTTTCCCACCTTCCAGTCATCAGACAAGTCTCTCCCGCCACCTTAAAAAGCATGAGAACCAGGAAGGGTGTTCTGCATGCTCTCCTCATATTTTATCCTGTCAGTTCCAGGGAGTTTCCTTATACTGAGCAATAAGTTACTCCATTTTATTTTACTACAGTCTGAAGTTTCCACACACCCAAAACTTCAAGTGCTAATGCATTTGACCATGTCTCATCTTTGACAGACACTCTTAAGAAAATTTACATATAAATTCCCTTATAAATTTGTAAGTGGGTTTCATCAAGTGATAAATTTAAATCTAAAATTTATTGGCAGTTCACAATGTCAAAGATTATAAAGATGATATATACATATATAAAATAAAAAAGAACAACTTTTTAAAATTATGTCTGGCTTGCAAAAATTCATTTAGTGTGTGTCACAAGTACCTTGCAGGCAGTATAGATTCTACATTATTAAAACTTGTAGGATTATTATTTTGGAGCCTTTGTAACCTAATACAAATTATAGCTATTTATTAAGAAGTTAAGCTGCTTAAGTGGTAT